TAATAATAATAATAATAATAATAATAATAATAATAATATTGTATATTTATTGCATGTGATCTTTTATGTAAGATTTTGTATGTGACAAATTTTATATCCAGCCCTACTGGGTAACAACTGGATCCATGAAATGTAATTACAAATAAATAAATAAAAATAAGAACAAGATAGTAAGACTATATTTTAAGAATAAATGAAGAGGGAACTGAAAGAAAGTTTTGAGTGTGAAACTTATAGGAAAACCATAATTAAGACAGGAAGATCAGCTTAAGAAAGATGTACACAAAACGATCTTAGAGAAATACAGACTGTTAATGTCACAGAATGCTTACTTATTACATGCTTGATTTAATACTGCATGCAGTAACTCAGACTGTACAAGGACAATGATTATTGAATACTGGATTGCAAAGCATGTGGAAGGAAAATTTACAGCATAATTTGAAGTTATCCTGGCATTTGCATGGAGGGACTGGGAAAACCCATGGCAACCTCTGGGTGCAGATTTTAAACCTGGACCTCCAGAATACAAAAGCAGGAGTGCTACTCACTTCAGCACAATGTCCAGTGCAATAAATGGTTAAGTCGTGTAACAGTGTGGAATGGCTTTAACAGGTTACTGCTAATGCAAAACACTGCACTCAGTTGTCACTCAACTGATCACATTTAACTCTGAGCAAACAGTTATCATCTTTGTCTATGAGTAACTAGTCGTTAAAAGCTGCAGATTATATACTCACCTTTAAAGAAATAGAAAACGGAACCGCCACACCACATGGCTCCGTCTACATTGTCTGGAATTCCCGGCCACCCCACACATATGTAAGAGGGGTTACTGATATGAGGAGATGTGTGATAGTAAGTCCAGTAGCTGTTACCCTTGAAGAAATAAGTTAGACCACTGCTGGTAGCAGTGGCTGCATCTATGTTACTGGGAAGTCCAGCCCAGCGATGGGAGTTGAGGCGAGGATAACCACTTGCTATGCCATCTGGTGTCAGCTTCCAATGGTATTCTCCTGCGATTAAATAAAAATGTAACAATTTGGTATACAATTCACTTTTTATGCAGTTCAGTTCCTCCAGCTGCCATAATGCATTTTCTTTACAGGGACGTAAGTTCATCGGCCATGTGTTCTCTGTGAACAGTAATGTGAAAAGAAGGTTTAAAATCCATTCTGATATCTTTGCCTATAAAGTTGTCCCTGTGCTTAACTGATTAAGCACTATGCCATGGAGACATATGGGAGAGTGGATGTATAAATCCATGTATTCTTGACCTTGGCACTAGTTGGAGGTGAGTGACCAGATTCATGCCCTGGCCCCTTTGCCGCTAGTACCCATTGGATAAGAGGCTGGGTGGACCACAAAACCTGTCAGGATGATGACACAGAGCAGAAAAATCTTGCCCCTACCATGACTCAAACTCCAGGCCCTCTGCAATTCAGCCAATAGCCAGTTCCTATGCTGACTGCTCTATCCTGGCTCATGGTACTGTGAGATTATAACTGAAGAGAGAGCTGTTATTAGGTTACAGTACAGTAAACTCATCCGCATAACTGCACACATAGCAGAGAAATTGGTGTTTTCTGTGCAGTCCATGCTGAGGTTATATATCAAGGACCAGCTGCCATTATTGGATAGTCCAGAGATGGCAGTTAGAAGAGTAGGAAGTTGGTGTCAGATGGTTGCCAGCCTGCAAAGCCATGAGCCCAGAAGCAAGTGTAGCCACAAATTGTTTAATATTTGATATTAGTTCCAGGCTTGGGCTATTACAATGTTTGGTTGTGGGCTGAAATGTGTAGCCACATATTTTGACTCTGAAGGTGGAGACAGCAGCATGTACCTCTGAACCATTGATGACGTCCCCCACAATCATATGTTGTAAAAACCCAAGAACAGAACTAACATCAATAATTAACTGCTGCGAAAGACTAATATCAGTAAATAAACAATACTTGTAGATATCTTACTTTATGTGAAATATTAAATAAAATGTATAGTTCATGCAAAATTGTTAAGTAACTTAAAAGCCAAGTGACAGAAATCTTACCTTTCAATACATATATAACTCCCGCTGGGTACTCAAAAATGGCATCAAATGAGGAATCTGAGCATAAGTTTGCAGGCCTGGGTCTTCTGGGTCCATACAAGGCCTGCAACATCAGCGAGAAAAGGAAGACAGGCCTTGACATGTCTGCCTTTTGGTCCCTTTTATGGCTTCTCCATCTAAGAATGACTGTAATGTATACTGAAGCATTTACAATCTAAGTGCAGGTGAAATTACACTTACAATCACTTCCTTGGTCAAATGATCTCTGGAGGCCCATCCATACTAACATTTAAGGAGGGCTAGGAGTTTCTGTCCAACAGGAAAACACAAGACATTGAGGCAAACACATCCCACGTGCTTTCAAAGTAGAAAACACAGCAGTTCAAGCACATGCCCTCCACATGCCTCAGAGACATGGTGTTCAGGCAGTTTTTACCTTTATGCTGTGGTCTCGTGGGTTGCTGCACTATGTGGTCTGGTAGCTGGGTACTCTAAAAAAACAGACAGCATTTTGGTATCCACCTACCAGACTGCACAGTAACGCAGAATACAACATCTGCCTTCATGGGAACCTCAAAACTCATACAAGCTGGCCTAAATGCTTTCCGTCCATTTATGACATTCTTCCAAGTTCTATGTAATATTATGACACTTTTACACCAGTATTGTCTGTGTGTTACTTGTTTCTCCCATGTGCAGACTCTGGAGATCACAGAACATCTCCATTTAAAAAATTTACTTAAAGTCAATAGAAAGTCCGTCGAGTGTAACAATTTATAGGTCACTTCTTTATCACTTCTGCCTTACATGTTTCGGTTTAATAAAACCATCATCAGAGGCACATAGTACAAGCATGAAAACACTGCCGTTGTTTAAGATGTACACAGTTATATTTGCTGCGTGAACGCTGCTACAATATGTCGACGTGTAAAAGCACAACACTTGCTAGGATTGTTGAATGCACGTTCAATTCTCACATTCATCCGAAACTGCCCTCAAGTTAAAACGTCAATGTTAAAATATTTAAAATTTAAAACATTTGAAGTAAAATGTTAAGCTCCTCCTTGTTAATTCATCCCGAAGATGGGAGATGTCAGCTTGAGGATGTATGGCTTATGGTTAGATGTTTCCTATGTGCTGTGTGTTGTGTACTTATTTATTTATTTATGGTTTATACAGTGCGTGTCAGCAGGTAAGGCTACGCTGCTGAATGACAGGAAGATCAGTGAACAGTGAAATTGAAAGGATGTGCAAGGAAGCAGTTGCAACATACCCTGGCATTTGCCTGGGGTAACTGAGGAAAATCACAACAACCCCCCATCAGGATAGTCAACCTCCTAGTCGAGATTTGAACCAGCAACCTCCTAAACACAAGTCAGAAGCTTTACTGTTCAGCTCCTGCTATGGAACCATGAACCAGACAGGCAAGTATACCTACCACTCCTGCCTGATGAGCTTTCAGGAAATTGAACTCTGTAGAGCCACAGTATATCGACTTGATTTACCTGAATGTTTCGTACATCTTCTTCATCAAATGGGAAATTTGGATTGGAACGTCCCATCTGCAGGTAAGGATACATAATGGATCTGTTTGCCATAGAGTGATTCACACCAAGAACATGCCCAAATTCATGCAGAGCCACCCAGAACAATTCCAGACCTGAAAATGTTCCACAAATAGAACATGAATATCAAACAGTGAACTATTATGCCTGTCAGTGCCATCTGACATCGGAACGTGATGGAAATTTTGCATCACTTCTAGGAATCTGCTCAACTGTCCACGGAAAGGAGGATGCTGGGTCTAGAACAGGTGTAACCTGCAAGCTTAGAAATGTTGCCATTTTCCTAATTTCAACACCTCTCTCTGTAGATATGAACAGATTCTGATGAGTTCTCTTTTCTAAGACCAAGTGCCGTGAGGTCTGCTTGAAAATCAACTGTTAGAGGAACATGTTGCCTCCATCTTCAGGGTTGAAGAATAAGCCAAGCAAGAAGCCAGGCTTGCTACCTGCTTCACACTGGTTTCTTGCTTGATGTATTATTATTTATTATTATTATTTTTGGAGAGGGTGGGTTTCCCCATGCACTGCGATCAATTGTTGATCTATTGTGCGTCCCCCTTTAATTTCCACTGTCACCATGCCCTTTCAGTACTGGTGCTCGCTATAAGCCCCGTTCTGCCAGCGAGGTCAGCCCTCTCTGGGAGTGGTCCCCGATACATCCCCATCCACCGGAGGAATTGGAAACTATTTGGGCAGGAAACTTTGCATAATTTTGCTCAGAGGTCTCCTAGAGACATGAGGATCTTTTACGTGGCGTAAATCTATGACACAGGACACACGGCTTAAAGTCCCTCCCAGAGGACTTGTTCCCTGAATTTTTCCGCCCTTAAAAATTCCACGACCTCCGCTGGGTTGTAACCCGCGTACCTTGAGTCATGAGGTGGGAACTTTACCCCTAGGCTATGGGGGCCGCTTTTGCTTGATGTATTCTTCGACCTTGAAGATGAAGGTAACATGGTCTTCCGAAACATCGCTCAACTTTCAATGGGCTACATGGAATTATATACTTTATAATATTTTTATAAGTGAGAAAAGAAGCAATGGAGGACACTGTGTTGGGAGCACTGGCAACGAATTTACTGATCCTGCTTGTTTCCACAGTCCTGGAGGGTGGAACATGAACATGTCAGTTAATAACAGCTAAGGGCAGATACAGCATCCACAGAAAAAGAGACAGTAAATCATACATTATCATAATATATCACATTAGACATTTAAAGCAAACTGGTAACTATATGTGCCACCTGCTTTGCCATAAAAAAACTCTGTCCACACAGTGTATTCATGTTTCATATGATCTCACAGTAAGAAACAATTCTTTCTTCAAACTGTTCGTTGGTCTCTATAACAGAGATGGAATGTATTCTCTGGGTGGTGGAAAGTGAATTGTTAAAATTCTGTATATGAACTTCTGGCTTCAGTTGCTAAGGAATACCAGACAATGCTTTGGGTACACTACACTGACCTGAGTGACTCCTGTTGCCCTTGCTCCAGTCCTCATTAAAGTCTACAGATCCTGCTGGAGGAAAGAAGGCGTGACCATACACTTCTGGTCTAAATGGGTGGAAATGAGAATGGTTTGCGGCACCAAATGCAATGTTAATATCTGCAAGTGCAGATATCTGCCGGAAGTGCAAGTCTGTAACTGATGCCCAGGCAGCGAACGCTTGCTCCACAACTTTATTTACAGCTGCAGACTGCAGATGCTTTGGGTACCTGAAGATCCTGTATGTCAACTCCTTCTGATTCCAAGGTATTCCTTAAAAAAAATTATAACAGGTGTGGAGAGGACAGAAAATAAAGCAAAATTTATGAGTTCCGCTCAGAGCTTCACATTGCCTCCATAATCCCGCTGTATATATACCATTACTTGCCGTTCTGATCCTCTTGGAACTTCGATCGTCTCCTTCAAAGTCAAACTTGTCTTTCACTCCGCACCGAGATTTCTTCATCATGTCACATGTCGCCGTGTCCAGCTTTCCTGTAGCAAAACACAGAAATTGGCCCCACTACAGATTGTGCAGCTATGCCTTTATCACCGAGGAGCCGGGATAGTGCAATCGGTATAGCCACTGGCTAGGGGCTGGATGACTCAGGCATTGGAATTTGAGTCCTGGTAGGGTCAAGAATTTTTTCCAAATCATCCAGACCAGTTCTAGGGTCCACCCAACCGCCTGTCCAATGTGTGCCTGTGGCTCTTTCCCCGGGGGTAAAGCGGCCAGGACGTGAAGCTGACCACTGACCTCCAGTTAGTGCCAAGGTCAAGAAAATGTGGATCTATACATCGACTCCCCCATATGGCTTCATAAGCACAGGGACAACTTCACCTTTACCTTTATGCCTTTATCATCATTACAACTTGAACATAAAAGTTTTCAGGTTTTCACACTGCTGTGCATTAATATGGTGGCCTTCTGTGCATGGACACAGACCTAACAATAGAAACGTTAGTGCTGCATGTATGAAGGGAATGGCATGGGGTCATTTTTGTTGACTTGAACAACAAACAATTCATGAAGTGTACCATATTTAAACAAGGCTGACACTTGTGTCTCAAACAGTAATTTCAGAAATTAAATAATGCAGCATAATGGCACAGATGTGGTTTTCTAAACTTATATTTGTGAGGTGCTCAGTTTGAGTCTATACCAGGACACTGGTTCACCTGACTGAAGTTCTTTAGTGACTCCAGCCAATAACATATCAACAACATAAGCAATGAAACAGAAGAAAGCATTTTCCTCATCTAATAATTTTAACACCCGATGATGACCATATTGGTCGAAACATGTAGTGATAAACTTTTCAAGTGAATATCCTTTAATAAATGTTATAGAACATAGTGTTGCACATGAGACTGTAAAGAACTGACAGCCCAGCCAAAAGTCAGGATAGTTCCTCAGACTAGGCTATGACTTCCTACTTGCAAATCCTTTCCAATTCATCAATCATCCTTCCATTTGACATTACACAGTCTAGATACTGACATCACAACATGTCGCACAGAAAGCTAGACAGTTCATATGACTGTTTCAAAACAAGTGACATGGCGATGCCTCACCTCACATCCAAGCAGAGAGTGGCTTCATAATCTGTCACAGAAACATCAAATCAACTTTAGGTTCACTCACAGGAATTACATGATATGACTGGATCTCATGTGCTGACTGAAGACACATTGCATAATCTGCAAGTGCAGCAAGTAAACCCTTTTACACAGCAATTGTAATCATGTGAACCTCATCATTAACACTAATTAACACAACTTTTCAACAACAGAGTTTATTGACGATTTTCAATTTGTTCTCCCAATAAATAACAATGATTTTTATAAGCACAACAGAACTTTGTAACTTTTAAAATATTTTTCAGACAGGCTTCGCCTTATAACAGCTAAGAGACTATGCAGTTCGTTCCAGAGAACTGGGACTAGTTTGGAAGAGGCAGGTATGTAAGTTACACAAATTTGATAGGACTGTGTGGTGTGTTGAACTCGTTATAAAAATTTATAAATACTGGTTTTGGTAATCAGTTGACTAACAAAATGCAAAATATACTAACCCAGTAGTGTACAGAACTATATGGCTCTATAGTTCAGCATCATTTGTTGGGTCCAGAACAATACACAATTTTCTGTTCACAGTGGCGACAAAGGCGCACCAATACCTTGTAGTTAATGACTGATAACTGTCAACAGAATTACTGTGTTAAATAATATTGCATCATACCATCCTGTTGCTCATCATTTATTTCCATTAGTAATTAGCTGTCTCACATGCAACATGCTTTTTTAAACCTTTAAATGTTTAACTTTAAAGATGGGCGCCTAAATGAGGGAATATCCCAAAAATTCGTCAGCAATTTTAGACACACATGAAGATGACCAATTTTGGTTTAAATATGCAGTGTGCATACACCAGTCATACAGAAGAGATTTTAACCTTTAAACTTTTAAAGGGTTTAAAAAACAATTTGCATGTGAGACAGCCAGTAATTAACAGGAATAAATTACTCTGTTAAAGTTTGTAGTACCTGTTTGTTCAAGCCCTACAAACATCTGGAAATCTCTTAGTGCATTTTCTAGTTCCTCATTCGGTATCTGTGAGTAATTCTGCAGAACCTCTGGATTCATGTACCCGTAGTAAGCCAGGAATTCCTGAAAGACAGAGACAAATTGTTTACCAAAAGAGTACTTACAAAGGGTTAGATTTCAAACACAAACATCTGAAACATTTGACAGGTGTAGAAAGACAAACAGATCCATGTCAAGTGGGTTCCAAGTCACCATGGCAAGGTGTGTCCTCAGGCTGCATCTAAAGAAGGATGCCTCAAGGCACCTGTGAAGTGCATCTTCATCCTGTTCTGGAGAATGTTCCTCTTTCAGTGTACACAAAGGTATCAATGGCCCACCTCAGCCACATACAAGGCTCTGATTTGCCACTCCTAATCCGTGATCCATTTCTTTCTCTATCATCTGCATAACATGCAATACTCTGGCACTTCCCCAGCTTGGATCACTTCTACCCTGAAGATGGAGGTACAATGACCCTCTGAAACTTGGTTCTCGCCTACCAGATCCCACGGTTTCATTACACAAAGGACCTCCCTTCTTCCTGCAGATAAGACATGTATCACAATCACATACAAAGGTGCGGTTGTCTGACTGGTTTCCTCGCAGCCTTCTGATAAGAAACAGGAGCAGCACCTTATCTTCCCCCCCACCATTTGCCCCATATGCCAGTATTAACGCTTTAGACAAGAGTGGTAACCATATGTACTATATGAAAGCCTCTGCATTCTGAAGGGTAGCGTCACTGTGATGGAGGGATAGCTCAGTCAGTGCAGCAATGGGCTATGGGCTGAAAGAGGAATTGGGTTTCAATAGCTGGCTCTCTACAGTGTCCACACTGGCTCTAGGGCCCACCCAGTTTCATAACCAGTAGGCAATAGGTACAGCGGCAAAAGTGTGAAGCTCACCACTCACCTCCATCTAGTGCTGAGGTTAAAAATATGTGGACATATAATTACACTTCCCCATATGCCTTCATGGTGTGGTGCAACTAAGTCCCTTGTACTGCCGCCACTTCTGGCCTATTGTACCAGCCCCAGATGATAGGTGAGGGTGATTGTGGAGCAACTGGTGGAATGAAGATTGGCAGGGGAAACCGAAGTACTCAAAGGAAACCTGCTCCAGCGCCACTTTGTCCACCACAAATCCCACTTGACCAGACTCGGGATCGAACCCAGACCACCACGGTGGGAAGCCAGCGACTAACCACTTGAGCTATGGCACGGCCCTTGGTATTGTGTGGTGTTTACAATAATTACATGTATTTTTTTTTTTTTTACTTTTTACTGTCATTGTCATGCAGTGCAGTTTACTTAAGTGTTCTGTATGATTCTCACAGTAAATAGCGGTTGTTATCCTAAACAGGATTAACAGCTTGGTCTTTTTAGCTGAGATTCAGTGTGTTTACGGTGAGGAGGGAACAGATCCTTTACATATTCTGATAAACTTCAATCTTCAAAGTGTTATGGGAACTGAAAAAGTTCAGAATAACGAGTGTCCTGCTGTTACACTGGGCCTCTTCTCAGCTTTTCTGTTAGTGTATAGTGTGTTGTTCTTACCACAGCCTCTCTGCCACACAGTGCTGATCCAAGCATCAGTATGATGAGCAGCATCAGTTCTCTGGCCAGCATGTTGCAGACTCAGGGCACGCAGCTGCTCCACTTGCCACTGGCACCATCTGCCAACTGATATTTGATACAATTTGACTTCTTTGTGCTTTTGTAAACACACACACAATCTACACCAAGCAGCTAAAGTAAATTAAATGTATCTGGGGAAAAGGCTTATGTGGTTTGAAATAACAAGTCAGAAGATTACTTTTAATAGTTGTTATCAGTCTTTCCCTCCACACTTTCAGATAATATCCCCAAACATAAAATGACTGCACCCTTAGCCACTTGAAGGCTGAAGTTTCCTACCTTATTGGAAGCACACTCCATTTCCATAACGAAGCTCAAACAGTTAATGCTGTTTGGGGAAATACCTGCTGTTTATTGTGACAATCATATTAAACACATAAATACTCTGTGTGGGCATAATGCAGAGTATTTTCATGTTAATGCAGGTGGTACATATAGTTAGCATTGTGCTTTAAAGAATTAACAACAATCAATCCAACCAGCAGTAAGTTCCTCTGAAACCTTACATCTGTGCACCAGACTACATTAACAGAAGATGATAATCTTATTCAGCCATTCTTCTGATGCAAATGTTAGTACTGATAACTCTCTGTTGTGTCAAGTTCTTTCAACTGGTTGACATAGGCCAGACAGAACTGGAGGAGAATACAGCTGGACACAGAAACAGGAAAGCCTCTACAACTGATATCCCCAAGCTTCTTGCGACTTCTTTCTGCAGCCTCAGTGCAGGTCACAAAATGCCCCATAGACTGTGCATACAGCTAGCCCAAAATTCTGCTGTTGAACGAAACAAACAATTACTGCTTAAAGGGGTGTGCCAGGCCACCCACAGACTTCAATCCAAACAGTATTATGAATTTCAGACCTACGTGGGGTCGTACCCACCCTGGCTCCTTCACCCGGGATAAAGACGGATGGAGGACTAATCTGATCTCTCATCTTTGTCTGGTTCTGAAGTTATGAATATGCCCCCTACGCTACCACATTCAGAGACAGATAATTCCCTGACTCATTTTATATTTGCTTTTACAGTTACAGAAATCAGTGCACAGGAACGAAAGATTGATGTAGAAAACAGTGCATTCTTATGGATGTGTTTGGTGAGCACCCACAGACACCTGGAGTGCCGAGTGAGTGTTCCTAGATATCGAGAGTGTCAAGTGAATGTAGTGTTGATTGAATGTCTGTCTTGAGAGAGAGTGAGACTGATGTGTTGGGAGAATGTCTTGGGGAGGGGGGGGAGTTAGGTGAGTGAGATTTAATGTACTGTGCGAGTGTTTCAGACCGCATGTGGAATAATGACAAATGAGAGGAGAAATAAATAAAAAAAATAAACAGAATTCATGAATGCTGCATTTAACACTTGATTTGCATGATCAGCTGATGCTGCTGCTGTTCCATGGTGTCAGTGCCAGCAGAACTGTGAATGTGTAGCAATCAACATCAGCCCTGCTGCACAGTTTGACAAAGAACATTAAGACAGAGATTTATACCTTTGACATTTTTATTTAGATTGATCAAACAATGAGTGTGGAGTCAGTTCTGCGATGAAAAGAGTAAAGTGAGTGTTGGTGCAAACAAATCTTACAAGCACATACTATCACACAAACTTCACATGTTCTAGTATAATAATTTATTGAATTTCACCACAACAGCAAAGCACTTTGTGGTTGCTTTCCATTTTAACACCATTCCCTTAAAACCATTTTCATGCTTTTCAGTTTCACCTTCATCTAAAATCTCTACCTTGTTTCAGCGCTATGAAAGCTGAAGTTCATGGTAATAACACTTAAGGTTTAAGTTCCTACACCAGAGAATTCACACGGTCTCCATTACAAATCCTAGCAGGCCACTCCTGTTTATGGAAGAAAAAAATTCCTGGTTATCTTGACAGGCATTTGAAATGCAAAATACGCTATATGGGCATTATGCAAGGTTTATTAATGTTACAACAGGTGGTATACATAGTTACCGTTATGCTTTAAAAAGTCAAACTGAATTGTGCTAGTGTTGCTTCACTTCAAATAGTGGGTTGCAATGGCATGATCATGCCAACCTTTACAACATCATCCAAGTTCTGTCCACAATACAGACAGCAGAGAACTCACCAACACATTTCTGAAGGTCTTTCTTCCTGGGGAACACTAAAACTGAACCAGAGATATATAACAAAGATGCATCAATATGTCTGTTTTTCCAATGTTAAACCCAGTGCGCACAGAGTAAAGTGGCCGCTCTCGGGGGCTGGCTACAATTGTCCGAGAGACAGTGTCAGTATGGCCACAAAGACAGCTGGGGCTGTGTGAAGTGTGGGACAGGCAGCAGTCACGTTTCTGTGGCCAGGTTCTGTTGGACCTAGAAAACAAACATCACAGGAACAAAATCACACAAATTTCCTACCAGTGCCTTCACTCCATTGGCACATCATGCTACAATACATCATTAACCTCTACTGTCAACTTCCAGTGTTATGTGGCTGGTGGAAACATTTCAACTTGGGGATCACGATGTTACTCTAGAGAAAATACAGAACTCAACCAGTTGCACCATGTGTACGCAGTGCTGAAACAGTGCTCTGCTGGGCCAGTAAAGGTTAAGAGAGCACAGAGCATGTAAAATGGCGCACTTTCACATTCAAGACAATGACAGAACTGACAACACTCTATCTTACTCATAAGTCTAATGACAAATCATGACTCTCAGAAATTTTACAATATAATTAAAAAATATGTAATTATTTATATAGGATGTCATTTGCTGAATGTAATAATGTGATAGCTTGATGGGAGTTTACTGTTCGAAACGCGTAAGTGACAGGCATCAGGTGTGTCAACTTGTAACCTACAGCAGTGATAACAGTATGCCATTTATCTCGGAAGTGAAAAGTACTAAAACAGAACAAATATTCAAAACTTCTTTTGATAAACATGTTTTGCCTCAAGTGTGTACAGATTTCACACAACTAACTAAGCATGCTTAGCAGTAAAATGTTAACCATAATCACCCTGATGATTATAATCCTCAGTGCCATTTTCTCTACATCGAAACCACCAGGGTCCTGTTGGCCGATGGTAATCAGGAAGGTCAGGGTAGCCTTGGTCAACCTGTTTGTAAATAAGACAAGTGCAGTTTGTAACTTGGCCTATGTGACTTAACTGCAATATCAAGTCACTGGAGCCAATTTAACCCACAGCATTTAGTGTCACATACAGAAAATGTGTTACTGTTAGTATTGAGGTGAATGTACTTAAGTCATGGCACCCTAGTGGGTAGGAATGATAGTGTTCGAGGTTTTGCATTCCCCGCCAGATCCTTCTGGCCTATGTCAACAACCACAAAGCTAGTGTCAATAGTGAAGGCAACCCCTACCAGCGCTGCTGTAAACAGAATGGTTGGCTGACTGGAGGGGAAAGAGTAACAGCTCAAGGGACATGTGGAGGGGTTGATCCATAGGACTTTCTTACACACTTCGGTATAATTCAGAAAAAATGTGATGTGCTGGACATGTAGCATAAGTTTATGAAAAAGAAAACAGCATATACTGCTGTTTGGAAAATCTATTGCAAGAGATAACTTGGAGGACACCAGCAAAGATGGGAGATTAATATTATCATACATACTGTAGAGACAAACTGTGATGATAAGAACTTAGGGTAGGGTGCAGTCATCATCCTTCTTATGACAGTGGTGGAAATATTTTCAACTGCTGAAGAAACCGTTAGTTATATAGAAAGGTGAGATACTTAGATGGGGGGGGGAATAAGCATACTCCCTCTTGACAGCTGCAACCCTCTCAGTCTCACTTACCAAATGAGTTATGCAGTTGAAGCGGTAATAACGTCCTTTCCTGAAGAAGTACACATAATCTCCTATTCGTAACACATCATCCAGATCCTGAATGATGCCATCCCATCTGGACAATGGTTTGGGATATGTATCTGTATTGACATCATGATGCTCATTCAAAATGTATTTCCAGTAACTGTCCCCTGTAACATTTACATGTAGCACAGTGATTCATGTTAACCCTTTGATTGCTAAGATCAGTTACACAATTATCTGCTAAAGGGGGGGGGGGTGTATGCAGAGAGTCCACAGCATTTCTTTAAATGACAGATGTCTTATCCAGCAACACCCTCAACAAACAAGACCCTCACTCAGAATATACGAGGGATATTTGGAAAGTAAAGATACAAGTCCAGTAAAAATGCAAGGGTAATTCTTTTTTCAGAAATGGAAGTGCTGCTGTGTGAGATAGGAACCGTATGACAGGGCAGTGTTCACCGGCCACAGTCACGGCAACGTTGTACTCACGGTGTGTGGTTAAAGTGGCCGTGCCAATTCAAAATCCCACCAATTGTGAGGTTTGTGCAGTAATTCAGTAATTCGATTTCTTCATGCGAAAGGAGAAACTGCTTCTGAAATTCACCACCAACTTGTTTCTGTTTACAGTGAAGTTGTTATGAACAGGCAAAACGTGGCAAATGGTGTCATGAATTTGATGTGGGAAGAAGTGATGTTCATGATGAAATAAGGGGTGGAAGGCCATCCCTTGTTGCTGATGAAAACATTCATGCTGACAGATGTTTAACCATCGATGAACTTCATCAACAATGCCCCAAAGTGTCATGAACTCTTCTCCATGAAACTGTTACAAAAAGATTAGCCTACCTGAAACTGTGTACGCATTGGGTGCCAAAAATTTTGACAGGTGATCACAAGAAAAATCGAGTGTCTGTGGGACAGGCATTCCTCATGCATTACAAGGATTGAGGTGATGACTTTCTGGACTCTATTGCGATGGGAAATGAAACTTGGGTATCTCAGCACACACCTGAGAATAAGTGACAATCACTGCAATGGCACCACACACACTCACCAACAGTGAACAATTCAAAACCTCACCATCAAACCGAAAAATCTTAGCAAGTATCTTTTGGGACACGAAGCGGACACTTCTCGTCAACTTTTTGCCTCGACGAGACACCATCAATACTGCTGCTTACTGTGAGAGGCTGAAAATACTGTGTTGGGCTATTCAAAGCAGAGAGGAATGCTGATGTGAGGAGTCTGTTTATTGAATGATAACAGCCGTTCGCAAACTGCTCGTGCCCCACAGGATTTGTTGAAGTCCTTCAAGTGGGAGGTATTGGCACATCCACCACACAGCCCAGACCTTGCACCAAGCAATTATCATTTGCTTTCTAAGGTGAAAGAAAGTCTGGCCGGAAAGATTTTTTCAGATGATGATGAGGTTCAAGACTCAGTGATGACATGGCTGAGAGCGCAAGGCAGAAAATTTCTAAGATGCTGGAACAAAAAAACTTGCTCCTAGGCTCATAAAGTGCATTGCAGTCCATGGTGACTATACTGAAAAGTAAACACAGGTGTGTTGTAAAAGTGCCAAAAAAACATGCTTTACAAATATTTTCTAGAATTTCCAAATAACCTTCGTATATAGCTACTGCACAAAATTAGTACAATGAAAACACAGTAGGACAGAGAATCCACTGCTTGCAAGGTAACACGGAGATTTTAGGAATGCAGCCAGCCACAATTCACACCACATCCACGCAATGAAGAGACTACCCAAGAGATAACATGTTGCAAGCACACTATACATACATGTCCATCACCAGAGCATAAAGAGCAACATCCACCCAGCACATGTGATGCCAGGGAGGAAAAAACCTCCTGGTGAATCAGCAGTGAAAAAAAGTCTAAACATTTTAATGCTGCAGTTACATCTCCATCATGTGCACGTATAGCAAAATCTGTGAGAAGCCCGAAAAACTGCAACGAATTAACACTGTGGAGAACCAGAAAACTTTTAGACAGTTTAATGTTTTAGGAATTAATACTGTAACGTGTTTAGGTGACCGAGACGACGTTTGGATTGGTAATTGGTTTTATTAACCACTTAAAGATAAGATAAGGTAAAGCTATCCCTGTAACAGCCCTTGGAGGCCCATAGGGTTGTGAGACGTTGAGGAGCCCACATTTTCTAGACAACTGGCTCACAGATGGCGGTGAGGTTGTTAGCCTTACGTGTCAGCTGCCCTTTACCCCCCAGGAAGATTCCTGATACTCATTTCTGTTAGAGGCTGAGTCGGCCCCAGGGCCATAGTGCACTGGAAAAATTAGGTCAATTAAAAAAAATTCACCTCACTGGGACTTGAACCCGTGACCTTCCAGCTTGTAACATAGCCCCTCAACCAACTATGCTACCGTTTACAGTTTGTAACTACGATTACTTATAACACTGTTACTGTTGTTACCCAACAGTCAGTTGGCAGTCACAATACAATATATGAACATAAGCAAAGAGGCAAAATAAGGGTAAACAAGATGATTTACTGAGAATGGGGTTGCAGAGGGTGACACAATGACATTCAGACGGAAACTGAACTGTCTGCTCAACTACAAAGAAGAGAAACTGATGGAGCAATGGCTTCATGTATCCACATAATCAGTAACCCTACAGTTCTAGCCCAGTTCAGTGTCAGTGGCAGAGTCAAAATGTCTCAAGTTATGTCCATGTGAACTTCCCTTCTGAATAAAAGCCGACTTAAAAGGAGGCAGTGTCCAGTCAGCAGGGGTTACAGTGTTGGCATTTAACCCCCATATGTGGTCTTTCAAATCTATACCAGGGCTTTTCTGACCTGTAATTTTCTTGAAAATCAAAGACTAGGAGCAAGGAAACCCTATATCCATAGTAAATAACTGCCAGAATATGATAATAAATGATAAGACAGAGAACATCCCTGCCATCTGTGATTGATAGTTGAAAATAAAATGCCAAAGATAATAAAACAAGGTGACCACATAAGCCTTTTTTTTTTTTTCAAAACAGTGAAGGCAGGGTAAGGATGCATGCAGATGAGAAACACTACTGCCAAGCATGGACCACATTATTCATCATGAGTCTCGTACGACTTTTCCATACAATGTGCTGAGATCACAGGAGAGGGGGGCAGGAGAGCTCCTAGCAATGTCCAGTACGGTCACATAAGCAGAAGCTGACTCTAGCACATCAAATTCTATCAGAGTCTGTTAGCCAACGATGCTACTGATGGCTGGCTGGGTGGATACACACAGGAACATGAGCTCCACATCAGGTTTTTCCCTTTCCTGCTTTATAGAGTGAATCCTTACATATGGAAGGCTAATGCTTGCGGGTTTGTTGCTATGCACGTTTGCAAGCAGTTACAAAGAGGAGCAGAAGGTTACAGAAACAGAGG